AGTACAAATTCATTGCTAGACTGACAAACCTCAAAGGGAAAGGGGTTGGGAGGTGAGAAGAAATAAACCAAAGAACTTATCTGCATAACCAATGGACACAGACAATAGTGTGGGAAAAGGCAGGAGGGGGACGGGAGTGGGGCGAGAGTGGGGAGAAGGGGTCCATGGGGGAAAAATGAGGAACATCTGTAATACATTCTACATTCAACAATAAAGATTTAAAAAATAAAAAATAAAATAATTTAACTACATAGTGAGATAGCATTCTATTTTCATGTATCTTCTGCTCCTGATTCAGTGGAGGAAAGCCTCAGGTTGTTTCTAACAGCCTTTGGAAAGTTCTCTAACATGTGCCAATCTCCCTTTCTAACAAAGAAAGAGTAGGCAACAGTATGTAGCTTGAGTTTAAAGATATTGTTTTGTTTTCCTTGTATTTATTTTTATGGAATGAATGTTTGTTTCCCATTAAGGTAGCCATATAAATGCTCTATAAAAATATATTTAAGTTACTAAAAGTGAGATTTATGGGAAAATATTAAGCCAACAATAGTATAATTAGTTCATTAAAATGGTAAAAATTGTGAGGTTTGGGGCCTCAAGGCTTGCAAATAGTAAGGAGGAATTTAAGACAGGATGCTAGAATCCACTGTCAGGCTGAGAGCTGCCTCACTGTGAGAATGGAAGCCAGGGGGAGGGAGCACTTCCATGCCTACAAGAGAGGGGGGGGTTGTGATTATGTTCAACTTTCCGATTTTTTTTTATTTTTTTAAGGACAGAGAAGCAGGTTGCTTATCTGTTTTTATTCCAATATTGGGCATGGTTTATTATCATCATCATTATCATCATCATCATCATGATTCCTTTATCCACTGAATGTTGCAGCTTTTAAAATTTTTTTTATTTTATCCCAACCGGTGTGGCTCAGTGGATTGAGTGTCATCCCATGAACTGAGAGGTCCAAGTTCAATTCCCGGTCAGGGCACATGCCCAGGTTGTGGGCTTGATCCCCAGTCAGGGGTGTGCAGGAGGCAGCCCATTGATGTGTCTCTTTCATTGATGTTTCTATCTCTCTCTCCCTCTCCCTTCTTCTCTCTCTCTCCAAAAATCAATAAATTTTTTTAAAAAATCTGATATTATTGTATCTTTCCATGGTATTGAAATCACTGATGATTAAAGTGGTTATTGATGCAGTTGGATTAATATTTACCAAACCTTTTACTGTTTCCTATCTGTTGCTCTTGTTCTTTGTTTCTTTTGACATCCATCTTTTTTTCTGCCTTCTGTGGCTTTAATTAAGCAGTTGACCAAGTTTTTTTATTTCTCTCATAGAATATCAGTCACACATTAAAAAAAAAACACACAAATATTTTTAGTTGTTGCCCTTGAGTTTTGAGTATATGTTGACAATTAACTCACATCCTCTGTCTAGTCACACTGTACCACTTTACTGGTTGTGCAAGTACCTCATACCACATTATTCCCAATTCCCCCATCATTGTTCCTTGTCACATTACAGTCGTTTATTTCAATTACCCATAAGCATTTTTACTAATATTACTGTTACATTATTGTTAATATTATTTTAATCAAACTCTCATGTATTATATAATAAAAATATAAAGGTTTTTTATCTTTATTCCTATTTTAATCCTCCATCTTTATTATTTACATTCTGATTAATTTTTTAACATTTCACAGTATGCATACTAATGATAAATTTTCTCTACTTATGTCTCAAAAACTCCTATTCTTTATTTTTTATTAAGAAACTGTTTCAATGTTGACATTATTACAGAGGTCCCCTCCCCCACTTTTATTTCTCCTTTGTTTTTGGAGGATAATTTTGCTTGACACAGAATTCTATAATAGTGTTTTAAATTTCAAAATTTTCAATATTTTACTCCACTCTTTTTTTGCGTGTTTTTGTTTTTTATTTAAAGAAGTTTAATTTTTTTGAAGGACAGGGAAGCAGGTTGCTTATCTGTTTTTATTCCAATATTGGCCATGGTCCTTTGGTTCTCTATATATTACATCTGTTTTCCCCTTTGGCTTCTTTCAGTAAATTCTCTGTCTCTGATTTTTGTCTAATTCGAATATGATATACTTGGATATGCATTTTGTTTGTTTTTTTATGTTTTGTGTTTTAGAGCTTTCTGGATCTACATTGTGCCATCTATTATTAATTTTAGGAAACTTTAGTGATCATTTCTTCACTTATTTTTCCTGTTTCTGTCCTTTTTTTTCTTTTTGCTGTTTTTTTTTATGTGTACTTCAAACGTTGTGTTAAAGAAGGTTGCCCTAGGCTTCATGGATATTGTATTCTGTCTTTTTCACTGGTCATCATCTTTGCATTAGATGCTAATGAAATCAATTTTTTTTTTTTTATTGTAGGCCTTATGAAGAACAGAATATTTGGGGCATATTTAAAAATACTATCTCCCTCCCTATTTTGGAGGTGATAGTTTTCTGTGACTAAGGCTCTGATAGATCTAAGGAAAGTTGTTTATTTCAAGTTTTCTTCTGTTTTATTTTTGTTTGGGTTGTTGTTTTGGGGGGCGGGTTTTTTATGGTTTTAAATTTGTTTTAGTGTGTGTGTGTGTGTGTGTGTGTGTGTGTGTGTGTGTGGTGTGTGTGTGATCGAATATGACAGCTCCTAAGCTTTTAAATGCCACACCAGAAGTTGACAGAGTAGCCTGTAGAGTATCTTGTTGGTAAACACTTCCTCCGGAAATTGGAGAATGGAAATTTTATTTTCTTTTGGGGGAAAGCACTATTGAATCCTTTCTGTGTTAAATAATCATGGGCAAACTCAGCAGTGACCAGTGTGGACTTCACTGAACTCCCTTGAAAACTGCAGCTCTTAACCTATTCCTCAAAGGGCAGTGAGGCCCAGCATACCCTTTTAAGGCTTGATCATAAAGAGCTCTCCTGGCCTATTCTCTCACTATATGTTTTAAAATTGGCTGGAAACAGCCCTGAGCACATGAGTACAGGGATTTTGTGGTCTATCTTGTCACACCTTCTCTCTTGTGTCTGAGCTGTAAGTTTTAAATAATTTTCCAATGTCATTAAGTTGGACAGAGAAAAGGGAAGAACTGAGTCTGTGATAAAGACTACACAAGTTATAAGCAATGCTCTCCACAAGCATATTTACATTCAGCCAACTGTACCTGATTGCTGGTAAAGGCCCAGAGGACTTTACAATGACATGGTCAGCTGGCCTTGTTGAAAGTTAATTTCAATGAAAGGGAAAAGCTTCTAATTTTTTACTATACTTTATTCATTAAAACTTTATACATATTTTACCCTCTGCCTCCTGGAGTGTTGTAAATGGTGGGTAATTAGGAAGAAAATGAATTTTTTTTTTACAAGGAATCGATGGTCTTAAAATGATCATATATGTTTCATCTGTGTAGCATTTCTGTTATTTTCCTACATGCTCAGAACACTGACATTGGAGATAAATAAGATATAAAGTGATCACAGGAGAAATGTATAAGTAATTTCCATGTGTTAATGATGGCATTAAATTTATGAGAAAATAAGTGTGGACACAGAATATGTTTTTGATGATCAAGTCATAGATGAGATGTTTGGAGATAAGAGAATCATACATAATCTTCCTATAAATAGAGTCTAGTTCTGTTGGTCTCACTTATCCTACTGTACACATATTGGGATGTTTTAGGACTCAGTGGCCTTTGAGGATGTGGCTGTGAACTTCACCCTGGAGGAGTGGGCCTTACTGGAGCCTTCACAGAAGAAACTCTACAGACATGTGATGAGGGAAACCTTTAGGAACCTGGCCTCAGTAGGTAAGGATGAGGACATTTCTTAATTTGTCAATTAGAGAACAAGTATTGCTTGTTCAACATTGTCCTATGATGTATAACATGGAAAGGGAGGATTATGGTAAATAAACTGGTCATGGTCATAGTTCATCATGGATCTAGAAGTTAATGTTTTGTTTTTATGTTTTTTTAAATAAGTTTAATGATTTAGAATAATTTTTCTGGTTCTGAATTTTAGGGAAAAAATGGGAAGATCCTGACATTGAGAATCAGTACAAAAACCAGGGGAGAAAACTAAGGTGAGTTGCACAATAAAAAGTAGTATCTCGCCCTGGCCAGTTTGGCTCAGCGGTTAGAGCGTCGGCCTGCAGTCCGGAGAGACCCGGGTTCGGTTCCCGCTAAGGGCACGTACTTCGGTTGCAGTTTGTCCCCGGCCCTGGTTGGTCGTGCGGGTGGCAGCCACTCGATGTGTCCCTTCACATCGATGTTTCTCTCTCTCTCTCCCTTCCTCTCTCTCCCTCCCACTCTATCTGTACAAAAAATGGAAAAATATCCTCGGGTGAGGATAAAAAAAAAAAAAAAGTAGTATCTCGTGTGAGAGTTCTCATTTGATATGAAATTTTTAAAAGAAGCAAACAAAACTAATAAATCCTGCTTAAAATGTCTTTCTTAGAAAATGTTTACTAAAAATACTTTCTTAAATGTAACATAAATGTTCAGTGTTTGCAAATTTTATCACTTGGAAACAGTATTAATAAAGCCTATATATGAATACCACAGTTTGACAATAGCATGGGTGAAGTCTTGGAGAGCACTTAGTACATTTAATTTCAGACAATTTAGACAAGACATTATACCTACACTTTTCCTATAAATCATAATACATGTGACATATAAAATCATTAAAAATTTAAAGAAATCAATAATGTGCTTCTTTTTTTTTTTTTTTTTTATAGAAATCATATGTTAGAGAAACTCAATGAAAGTAAAGACAGTCATTGTGAAGAAAACGTCAACCTTATTTCAAATTTTAATCTAAAGAAGAAAACTACTGGAGTAAAACCACATGAGTATAGTCCATGTGGAAAAGTCTTTGTGTATCATTCATCCATTGATAGACTTATTAAATGTCACACTGGACCATATGAGTATCAGAAATATGGAAATAAGCCATATAAATGTAAGGTATGTGGGAAAGCCTTTAGTTATCTACAGTGCTTTGAACAACATGAAAGAAATCACAATGGAGAGAAAACCTATAAATGTAAGGAATGTGGGAAAGTCTTCATGTGCCTCAAAACCCTTAAAAAACACATGATAACACACACTACAGATTCTCCTTATAAATGTAAGGAATGTGGAAAAGTCTTCAATTGTTCAAGTTCACTTCTATTACATGAAAGAATGCACACTAGAGAGAAACACTATGAGTGTAAACAATGTGGGAAAGCCTTCAGTATTTCCAGTTCTCTTCAAATGCATGAAATAACTCACAGTGGACAGAAACCCTATGAATGTAAGGAATGTAGAAAAGCCTTCAGATATTATCAAAGTTTTCAAACACATGAAAGAAATCACACTGGAGAGAAACCCTATGGATGTAAAAACTGTAGTAAAGCATTCAGTTGTCTCAGTTATCTTCGAAAGCATGAAAGAACTCACACTGTAGAAAAACCCTATGAATGTAATATATGTAACAAAGCATTCAAGTATCCTAGTTATCTTCAAATACATGAAAGGACTCACACTGCAGAGAAGCCCTATGAATGTAAAATATGTGCCAAAGCATTTAGTTGTCTCAGTTATCTTCGAAAACATAAAAGAACTCACACTGGAGAGAAACCATATGGATGTAAAGAATGTGGAAAAGCCTTCAGATGTTATCAAAGTCTTCAAACACATGAAAGAAGTCACACTGGAGAGAAACCCTATAAATGTAAAATATGTTGTAAAGCATTCAGGTGTCTCAGTGATCTTCGAAGACATGAAAGAACTCATACTGCAGAGAAACCCTATGAATGTAAAATATGTAGTAAGGCATTTAGATGTCCCAGTTATCTTCAGATCCATGAAAGAAATCACACAGGAGAGAAACCCTATGAATGTAAAATATGTAGTAAAGCATTCAGGTATCCCAGTTATCTTCAAATACATGAAAGGACTCACACTACAGAGAAACCCTATGAATGTAAAATATGTAGTAAAACATTTAGATGTCCTAGTTATCTTCGAACACATGAAAGAACTCACACTGGAGAGAAACCCTATGTGTGTAAAATATGTAGTAAAGCATTTAGGTATCTCAGTTATCTTCAATTACATGAAAGAACTCATACTGGAGAGAAACCGTATGAATGTAAGGAATGTGGAAAAGCCTTCAGTTATCACACAAACTTTCGAAGACACCTGACAATGCACACTGGAGAGAAACCATATAAAAGTGTACAATGTGGGAAAGGCTTTAGTTATCCCAGTTCCTTTGAAACACATGGAAGAACTCACTGGATAAAACCTCTTGAATGTAAACAGCATGAAAAAGACTTGAACTGGCCTTCATTCTTACATGAAAATTCCAATGGAAGAGAAATAAACATGTAACACGAGAAAGCGTGATAGAAATTAATCCATATATAAGGTTCCAAAAACCTTTCAACATGAAAAAGTTTTTCTTGAAGTTGTAAATACATTGTGTTTATTAAATCTCCTTTTAAAAGTGCATTATTGGCCCTGGCCAGTTTGGCTCAGCAGTTAGAGCATTGGCCCACAGCCAGAGAGTCCCAAGTTCGGCTCCCACTAAGGGCATGTACTTCAGTTGCAGTTCGTCCCCTCCCCAGTTGGAGTTGTGTGGGTGGCAACTACTCGATGTGTCTCTCTCACATCAGTGTTTCTCTCTTTCTCTTCCTCTCTGCCTCCTGCTCTACCTGAACATAAATGCAAAACTGTCCTCGTGAGGATAAAAAATAAATAAAAATAAAAGTGCATTATTGGACCTTGGATTTCTACTAATTAATTTCAGAAATGAATATTCAGGTGAGATAATTTTGAAAGTTGTCTTCCAACAATAGTACATAAGATTAATATTGCGTTTTCCTTACATTTAATATATTTCTCCATTTTGAAGCCTGTTAGATCCATAGGTTTTTTGTGTTTTTTTTTCTTTATTGATTTTTTAGAGAGAGCATAAGGGAGTGGGAGAGGAAGATAGAAACATCCATTAGAGAGCACATCGATTGGCCAACTCCTGCATGCCTCCCACTGGGGATTGGGCCCACAACCTGGGCATGTGCCCTGCAGGAATCGAACTAACAACCTCTTGGTGCGTGGGTCGATGCTCAGCCACTGAGCCACACCAACCAGGAAATCCATAGGTATTTAAAGTGTATTTCCTATATGTAGTTGGGTTAATTTTTTTTTTTTTTATCCTCACCCGAGGACATTTTTCCATTTTTTGTTCAGGTAGAGTGGGAGGGAGAGAGAGAGAGAAATATCGATGTGAAAGGAACACATCAAGTGGCTGCCACCCGCATGACTGACCAGAGCCGGGGACGAACTACAACTGAGGTACATGCTCTTAGTGGGAACCGAACCCGGGTCCCTCAGGACCACAGGCCGATGCTCTAACCGCTGAGCCAAACCGGCCAGGGCAGTTAATTTTTTTTTAATAGCGTTTCATTGTTCTATGTTAAGGAGCCATTTTAAGAAAAACAGTTTGGTTGTTTGATTTTCTTGTGACAATCCTTTATATTCCTAGATTATTATATATAGTCTACCTTTTCCTCTGACAAAGCTTCTTTTTGGAGGTGATAGGTATAATAGCCTTTTCCTATTTTTATACTGATAAATATTTAATATAAATTTTATGTATGGCAATTTTATGAAAGAATGTTTTATGTAAATATTATTTTTATATTTGTGCCTTTGCTTTCTATCTTTCCTTCTGACTGGTATTTGGTGAATTGACTTTAATTTAAGACAAGGAACCTATAATAGGGCAACAAAATCTAGAGTTGGAAATATGCTCTTTGTGGGTAATCTTAGGAACTTGATTTTCCAGAATCCATCTTCTTTATAACTCCATATTAGAATTTATTAATTGCCTCACTTGCATTATATTTGGAAGCGAGGCATTAGTCAGATTTTGGAGCCACCATTTGGACAGATAAATACATAGGAACTTCAAGGACACCATCTTCCAGCCCATTTTGTTTTTTGATTCTTTGATTTGTCACTCAAGACTATCATCAAAACTGTCACCAGCTGACTGATAACCATTTTCTGAGAAGTGTAGGTTTTCACTGATAACTTCACAAGATCCACATCAAAAATCCATCAGAGTTTGGATTTTTCTGTAAGCCTTCTTGTGTCCACCAGGACACTTATTCAGACTTTTATGTTTGGGATTATTGTCTGATTCTTCTCTTCTCTAGATTATATCTACATAAGGTCTAATTTGTATAGGAAACACCTTGTGCTGTCAACAATGCTGAGAGTATGTTTTCCTGATTGCCCATGACATCTGCAATGGTGCCATCGAAAGGCCCTGGGAGTTTGTTTCTCACATGCAGTGGCTGCCTTGGCCTGTTTCTTCCATGTGAGAAGAGGCACCTTCCTCTTGTCAGGAAGACTGTGGGTGTCTCCAGTTACTTGTAGTTGAGTGTAATCTCTCAGTATGTCTTCAGTTATGTTTGATTGTAAGTGATTAAAAGTATGTACATTAAAAAAAGTTTTTTATTGATTGATTTTCAAGAGAGGAAGGGAGAAAGAAACATCGATTTGTTGTTCCACTTATTTATGCATTCACTGGTTGATTCTTATATATGCCCTGGTGAGGGATTGAACCCACAACCTTGGCACAGTGGGACGATGCTCCAACCCTAAGCTACCTGGCCAGGGCTGTGCATTTCTTTTTGTTAAATGACACTTGTGTAGATTATTCATAGAAATATTAACTGTTTTCTAATCCATGTGCTAACAAATACTGTTTTTTGTTTCCTGAGAGGATATGTTAAAATGTCTAATTATAATTAGGGGTTTTCAAGTAAACTTTGTGATTTTCTGCATTTAATTATTATACATTGAGTCAATTTTATCATGTGTTTTCAAATTCAGGTAATTTTTCCTCAGGCATATTTTGTTTTTCTATTTTTTTTATAGTTATGGTTTTTGTTGTGACACTAATTTTTTTTGTTTCTCTATTGATTTTAGAGAGGGAGGAAGGAAGAGGGAGAGAAATAGAAACATCAGTGAGTGAGAACATCAATTGGCTACCTCCTGTATGCCCTGCACTGGGGATCGGGCCCACAACCTGGGCATGTGCCCTGACCAGGAATCGAACCTGTGACCTCTTGGTGCATGGGTTGATGCTCAACTACTGAGCTACACAGGCTGGGGTGACACAAATTTTTATTCACTCTTAATACCCTAAACCATGTTTTTTGTTCAGTGTCTATTGCCAGTGACCTGCAGGTTGGCCAGGATGGTGCCTGTAGCCAAGGAAAGGAATATAATGAATTTTAATAAAAATAACCACAAGTATACATGGCTTTGGGGTGTAACATAATGGTTACTCAGGACTTTGATAGTATTTGGCCTGTGTCTAGTGGCTATTCAAGGCACCTGGACATTTTTTTATATTGAATTTTATGAGGAGGTAAACTTATTATGTTACTAGTAATCATAAACATTATTACCTAGAAACTGAAAACATTGTAGTGGAGCTAAACTTAATTTGTAAGATGTCCCAGTCAGTCATATTAGTAAGAAGAGAGAAATGTTGGTTTTTATTATGATTTGAAATGGTCACTTTTACCGTTTTTTGAGACATTTATTTTTGTCTTGATCCATCATGGTAACTCACTACCTTTGAAGAATGAGGTATGTGACATATTTTTTTTCAACAGCATAAGACTTGACCTTACAAAGATTTCAGGACAGCTCCCAGTCCTCCAAAACAGCTATGCCTTTAGTACTTACTATCTAAACACTGATATATTTCCTACAGTGTATTACATCATTTTCCATAAGTACTTCAGTTAAAATATATAAATTCACTTCCTAGTATATTACATAATATTTTAAATTAAATTTATTTATTTTTTGTTACAGTTGTCTCTCTTTTTTCCCCCTTTGACATCCTCCTTCCTGCTCCCACCCCCCTTCACCGTAGTGTCTGTGTCCATTGGTTATACATATATACATAATTTTTTATAGAGAAAAGGAAGGGAGAGAGATGTAGAAACATCAATGTGAGAGAAAAACATTGATTGGCTGCCTCCTGCACACCACCTATGGGGGAATGAGCCTGCAACCCGGCCATGTGCCCTGACAGAGAATTAAACCAGTGATTTCTTGGGGCATGGGTTAATGCTCAACCACTGAGCCACACCAGCCTGGCTATACATAATATTTTTAATATTACTTTTATGACTCAACTGAGGGCTATACATTTAGGTAAACTGTAAGAGAATACAAACCTAGCAAGGGAGAAGACAGGATCACTGGTCAGAGACTACTCTTAATGTTTCAACGTCCCTCATTTTCATGCACTGTAGAGTCATTGTACCCAATTCAGCACAGATAATCAAGGCCCTGTAGGATTTGGATGTAGCCACATGAGACAAACATGTTCTTGTAGTCCTGGTGCTTATATTTTTGTGGAAAAGAATGGTTAACATGGTATAACTTTAGTTTATAAGATGGAAATAAGGCCCTGGCTGGTTTGGCTCAGTGGTTAGAGTGTCAGCCTGGGGTCTGGAGAGACCCTGGTTTGGTTCCCACTAGGGGCACGTACCTCGGTTGCAGTTTGTCCCCGGCCCTGGTTGGTCGTGCCGGTGGCAGCCACTTGATGTGTCCCTTTCACGTCGATGTTTCTCTCTCTTCCTTTTTCTCTCTCTTTCTCTCTCTCCCTCCCACTCTATCTGAACAAAAAATGGGGAAAAAAATGTCCTCGAGTGAGTATTTAAAAAAAAAAAGATGGAAATAAGGACTTTGAAAAAAAAGTAAAAATTGACATGACATAATAGGGATAGTGGGGTATGTATATTTCTTCTCTATGAGGGTCAGAGCCTCAGTGAGTGAGGATGTCATTATTGATCACTTGTATTTCTACATGTAATATATGTTAACCACTTTTTCCGGAACTGCTTGGGTGTAGAAGTAAATAGAGGGCAGCAATACAGAATTTCTGATTTTCTTCATTAACAGTGATGATTCCCTATAAAGGTAAAAATATAGTCATGGCCTATCTTCATTTTTGTTATTACAAATTTGGGGTATATAACATGTGGTCATGAGTTTTGACATTGTTATCTGGACCTTGAGAGTTTTTATTGATTTTGGCCACAGATATTTATGGTGTCTTTTTGTGTTTGACATGCATTTTAAGAGGGTTTTCATTTATCTTTAAAAATTAAAATGTTATAGCATTCGAATGTTCATAGTGCTTCTGTGCTCACTGACACAATGCATACCTTATTATACCATGGAATTCTCCCAACTGAAGAAATAATTACATTTACCTGCACCATTATAGCTCATCCCTAATTTACTTTGTGTGTAGGGTGATATCCATGGAAATCTGTGATTCCCCAGTGGATGCA